ACTAAAGCTAAACAAAATGCTACTAAATTAGGACTTGAGTCATAAACACCATTAAAGTCTTATCGGTAGAATCTTTTATTACATTTTTACTATGCCTGCTTTAAGTGCTTTATAATAATGGTAATTTACGATTGCGGTTAAATAATATGACTGCTAATATAGGGTTAGGCAAACGATGGCATCACGATTACGATTACGATTTTATCTAAACAATAATAGTTTATTGGTAACAGCCATTACAAATATACAAACATCTAGTTGTGATAATAAGTATATATATATTTTTTTGCAATAGCATTTTGTATATTTTTCTGACGGATATGTCTGTGTTATTTACTACGCCTTAATGCCAGAAATTAAAATGCTGTACCGATGCCATTTGCCAGCGTCGACATCGTCTGGAGTCTAATTTTAGCTGTCTTTGGCCTCAGACCCCTTGAATTCAAGATCCATAGTCTGTGTGCCTGCTACTGTCTCAACTTGTGTTTTTGTGGGGTTAAAGTACACGGAAAAAATAGTTTCATTATTTTCTATGGGATTTTTATTGTAAAAATTCAGTTTTATAGTTTTCTTGCTACAATAAACTATCCTATACAAAAAAGCAAACTAATAACGGAAAGACTAAAGTTTATATACTCTTGAATTATAGAATCGAATCGAAAATCGATCATAATTAAGCTTAATATTTGCATTCTTTGAATTATTATTTATCGATATTTTTATATGACCATTTTTGCAACAAATAAAAAGTTTAAAATCTCATAACTATGCCAAAAATGCAGTAATTTTAATTCGAAAACCTTTCCCATGTTAGTTTTTGTTAGGTTAATGAAACTGCGTACTTAATTTAGACTTGCAAAAAATTTATTTTTTTTTTTTTGTTTTTTTTGTTGACAATTTTATCGATAAAAATTTTACAAATTTTGTAAAAAATAAATTTTGTCCGAACATAGCTAGATCGATTCCGCTTTTGACGCTGATCAAGAATATATATGATTTATAGGGTCGAAAATGACTCCTTCATAACGTTATATGCTTTTGACTTAAATTAGAATACCCTGCAAAGGTATAATTTATCGATATTGTAACGCTATTTCGTCTATATTTTAACGTTTCGATATATGTACGATAAATCGATATTATGTTAAATTTATTATTATAAATATTTGATTATCGCTACATAGTATTGGTTCTATTGCTTGGAAATAAAACTCTATTGGTCTAAATATATAAATATTACATATTAGAACTTGTACTATTAATCAACACCCATATCCCGGATGCAAATTTGATTTTAGATAGTGTATCTATATTTTTTTCGCTCTGTAAAAAACAGAGCCAGTCGTCAAATGCACAGCATGGGGTGTCCCGCTTCAATGGCCGTTCAGGGAAAAAGAAAACGGAAAATAAATGCACAGAAAGCAAAAGAGGGATAGGAGATGGAGGAAACTTTATTAAAGAGGTAGCCAGAGCTGCTGGGATGGACGAGAACACACTCCATACACAATTACGACAAATCCACAGCTCTCCCTGTCTCACTTTCTTTCTCCCGGTCCTCGGTACTCCGTACTTGGTTCTTGGTACTTGGTACTTGGTACTCGAAATACCCCATCCTTCCTCCGGGTGATAATGCGAACGAACCCCAGAGAGGAAGAGAGAAAACACTCGGTGCAGGGGATAAAAATAGAAGGCTGAAACGGCAGAAAGGATATTGTAGCAAATGGAAGGCAGCATCACTCTGAAGTCGAAAAGAAACTCAAGATAAAACGAAGCACAAGCGGGGAAAATCAAGAGCGAAAACACGGGAAAAACGGGGAGAAAATCTCTGCTGTTGCAGTAGCCATGTGTTGCATTTCAAAGTGTTGTTCTGAGTTATGGCTGAGGCAGGGGGAAATGGAAAAATGGAAATGGAAAACCCCGAGAACACACAGGGCCTGCCAGATGAGACGACAAATTACAAGATGTCGGCGAGGGGCAAGTGAAAACTGTACAGTGAGGCTGTGCACCTGCAAATCAATCAAAACTCCGGCGGAGCTTCCACTAATTGGAACCAGAAAACTTGATATCTTTTCATAAACATTAAGTGAAAGATTATATTTATGAGTGTTGAAAAAGAAATAAATGTCATAAAGAAAATGCCACAATATTAGCTGGAAATTGTCTTGTTTCTCTTCATTTAAAAATCATAAAATGTATCTTAAATGTCTTTGCATTTTGTGACAATCTCAATGGAATTTATTTCCTGCAACTGTGTTTTTTGCAAAAGCAAGCAGCAATTGAGAGCAATTAATCTTGATTTGAGCTCTACAATCTTCTAAGCTGATTTTGTTCTTGATTTATTGGTCACACATTCTTGATTTATTTTATTTTCTTCCCGTGTGTGTGCATCTTGATAAATCCATACTGAAGTTGAGCTTATTACCTGCCAGTTTGTGCCAGTCAAGTGCTTGCCTTGGGTAATTAATATCGACTGAGTTTTGCCTCACAGACCAGGCGGTTCACTTGCATAAATTGCAAATATTTCTCATATCATAAATACCCAAAATATTTGACATTTTCGGGGCCTAGAATGAGGTTCCAACAGGCATTACTTGAAGACCAAGAATGTTTCCCGATAGAGGGTTGAGTATAAAAGGGGAAAACTTAAATCAAAGGCCAGAATATGCATTACATTTTTAATTGCTTTCGGAGGGAAGGGATGGAAGTTGGATTGGATAGTTTGATGAGGATGTAGAAAGGATATGAGCACAGTAGCCCAGTGTCTGTGTAAGGATATTGCATTCCAATCATATTGGTTGAGCTGTAGGGGTAGCATCAAAAAAGTTGGATCATTTTTAATTAAGAAAAGTAATTTTCATATGACTTTAAAAATCAAACAGCAAGTAACAAGTTAAGCAAGTTTTTAATACACAGAATTAAGTTGTAGATTGCTGAGAGGATAAATTAAACGAGTTTTTCTATTTTGATAAGGTTTTGTATTGATTAGTAGCTATGCAAAAATATAAAAATGCAGCTGAGCTCAAAAACTGAGCTCTCCAAACTCCTTGCAATCTAATAAAAATAAAAAACTATATTAGAAAAATTCTGTTCTTGTTCTTTTAAATGAAACGCCACTCCCCTAAAGCTGTGCCCCAAAAACTTTCCGCTTTATTTATTTAGTTAGTTTAGTTGGTTTTGACCGTAAACCAAATCTCTGCCTTAAGACACTTTTTGCCATAATAAAAGTTCAATAGTCCTTTATTTTCATTTTTTTCACTAGTAAAAACTTTATCCTAGTGCATGCAGCACCACCACCATCTAATCCAAAAAAGTTTTGTGTAATTTTCACCAAATTTCCTTTGCTACCGCAGAGTTCCTGTTCCATGCAAATAAATTGCAGCTACTATGCTTTAACTAAAAAACAATTTCCATAAAATGTTCCGTGCCTGTGTGTGTGTGTTGGTGAAATCCTGGACAATCCCCAGGACATTTATCAACCGAGACCGAGCAGGAGGTAGCTTATTATTCTCCGGCCAACGTTTTCATGGGCAAAATGCGGAAATTTTAATTAAGGCTACGCTGCGATGGTCGATGGCTGGCTCTTGTGTCCACTCACCACTAAATCTCAAATGTCAATGAGCTGTGGTCACTGAATTTCCACCTCCCGGCTTTCCTCATTTTCGGAGCCATTTGTTAGGCAAGGTGGAAGTGCCAGAGCCAGGTGTGTACTAGTGGGAAATCCCAGCTCAAAGTTCGTCGGAGAGAGAGAGAGAGAGAGGAACTCCCTGGAAATATGATAAATTATCTGTAAAAATTTTGCAAACTCCTGAAAATTACGCATTAAATCATGCGATATGCGAGGAAAAACTGAAAAATCTAAGGGAGCTAAGGGGAAGGGTCACCCCAAAGGGGTTAAGCACTGCCAAGTCATTGTGTAGTTTACGACTGAGATTTTGCCGCTGGTTTTCCAGGGGATGAATTTTATCGCTCGCATGAGTACTGCATTTTTATTACATTTTTATATATACATATATATATTTATATATCTCGCATTTTGTGTCCTGTTTTATTTTGTAAACAAAAGAGGAAAGAATGCATATTAAAGGGGGACAACAATAAGAATATTTGTATGTTTCCTCTGGTGGTGGTCACGTCTGGTTTTTGTGATAATGCTGGCTCGTAAATTCGGGCAAACAAACTGCAATTGCACAAGGTGAAGCATCGCCATTGGAATATTCATTCGCCACCCACTTGGGCTATTTTGTATTTGGGTATTTTCATTATTATGACCCCAGGCCAGGTGTGTGGATTTTTTTCTTTTGCTTTACTGGCTTTGAGTTGGCTTTTCCGTCTTTTCGCTTGGCACATATTTCATGGCTATGATTTACTCCATTGTTCAGGGCCGTTGGCCACCATCAACCGCACACACAGCTCAAGCAGAACAAGTGCCCAGTTTTTGGCAACGCCCCCCCTTAAGTCCCACATCATCATCATCATCATTGAAACGAAATGTTTGTTTTGGCCCCTTTTTGGACTCCGACTCGGGTCAAAACTATAGTTGAGACATGAACCTAATTTACTGGCTGAGTGCCTTTCATGCTTTTGGCCTTTTTGCAGAGAGCGCTGGAATTTCCAAATGTCTTTATTTAGTTACCGTTTCGTTTCCATTGGAAAAGCTTTTCCCCCAAGTCCAAGGAAGATACACGAAGGCGATAAGGATTTAAGGGGGATGATTTTTCTTAGAAAATTTAAAGGGAAAATATAAATTAGTATAGGTTCAGGAAGTAATCAGGAGAGGAAGACTGAAAAAGGTCGTCCCACTTCTTGTATTTCTTTCGATTTTCTATCAATCATTAATAATATTAATCTGAATATTCGTAAGGTTAAAGCTTTCCCAAAAGTAAACCCAAACTGTCAAAACTTCATAACTAAAACCCAAGCCACATATTTTCTTGACCAGCTCATAACGAACCCAAACCACAAGTTGTCGGAGTATGGCTTCCTTGACAAACACTTTCGACTTGACAATACTTGGTCCTTTAATTGCTCAAGGTTTTGGGTTACAAAATTTTGTTGTTTGGTTAATTGCCGGACAACCTTTGTTGTGTTTTGACCCGCCACCAGAATGTCAATCGATGTGAATATATCCGGGGTTCAAAAGCCTTCGTTAACGTCTTCCTAATTGCCAGTGAAGGATGCCCCCAGGAGTCTTTGGCCAAAATGCGAACAGTTTACGCCTTTTTATCAGTCACTCGATGAGGCTGCCAGGATGTGTGCTTGAGCATCCTTCGGACCACTTGATGCTCCTCTCACTGTCGGTTTTTAATGGAGGCTCATCATCAACAATGTAAAGAGGGCCAGGACAGGCCAAGAGCCCAGGTAGTGAGTGAGTGGGTGGGTCTGCCAAACCAATTACTTAGTCATTGCAGCCATTAGGGGACCCCAAACAGTTTTTGGCTGGTAGATAATTGACACCCTACCGCCAGTGCTTGGCCACAGTGCGTTCTCTGAGCAGACTCGCCTCCTTGGAATCCTTCACACAATCCCCTGCCGTGGAGCTGTCGTCATTGTTCTCCGGCAAGCAGGTGAGCTGATGCTTCTCCACATTGGGATCGTAACAGATATTGTGGCGCCAAAAGGAGGCGGTGTAATCAAAGTCCACCTCACTGATGGGCGCCGGCATGCAGATGACCAGAATCTTGTCGCGTCCCTTTTTCGAGAGCTCCGCATCCTTGCACATGGTGATAAGGACATTGATGCAATCATTTGGCTTCAGGACACCCCAGCGGGGACGCAAGCTAAACCGGCCAAAGACGGTGCTTTGTAGCTATAATTTGTGTATTGTATTATAATTTCTATATATTTTCTTAAAAGAAACTCTCACCTTAAAGGTAACATCCATTTTGGAGACATTGGTTATGGTGATTTCTTGAGTGTTTTTCGTTTTTGAAAATTGCAAGGTTTTGGGTGATGAGACTTTAAGCAATGTGCTAGCCATAGTAATTCCAATTGAAGAATTTTGTTGGCCTAATCCAATTTAATATAAATCAGAAAGAATAGGACTTTTAATTTGCATATAACTTTTTCGAAAAAGACCAAATAGAAAAATATTATAAAAAGAAATGGCTCTTCTCACCCAGACAATAAGAAACCTTTTGATTTGAATTTTGTTAGCGTCAAAAGGTAACTTTAATTTACAGGCCTGCTTTGTATAAAGAAAGATTTTAGCCTACATGAAGTTTATGTAACATTAAACCTTAATCTTCTACTATAAATTGAGTTTAATCTTTATATTCCAGAAACCTCCCATAAGATCATTTCTTTTAAGAAGCCCCTTAAGGGAAACATAACTTGTTGCCTTAAAAAACCACCCGAAAATTCCCTCAGGTTTCTGCGGGTTCCTTTCATATTTAGCCATAATAATTACCCTTTGGCAGCCGCATTGCGGAGGCTCCTTTACACACAATTGACCCCGAATAAATGGGTGTGTGTGTGTGGGTCCAAGTTGTGGGCCACGTATTAATTACATTTCAACGGTCGCCGCTCAAGCAAATCAGAAAAGCCCAGACTACAATCAACATTTACAGCCAACAATTTGCTTTCAAAACAACAAAAGGGGGAAACAATGGTTCCCACATGGGGCATGGGACATGGGGCATGAGGCATGAGGCATCGGGCTTGGGCACTGCAGAGGCTTCGCAATCCTTGGCCAGTCGAGCATTTTGAGCTTAGCCGGCGCTTAGGCTAAATGACCAACCAGCAGGTGGCGGTGGCGGTACTACATAGTCCCAGTTACCAGTTACCAGTAACCATTGCCCAGTGACCGTTTGGCAGCACTAACAACAACAATAAGCTGTAGAATTAATTGATTTACAAGTGTGAAAATGCGCAGAGCTAGTGGCAGTACTAGGCCATAACAATAACGCTCCACGGGGAAGGGGGAAATGGGAATGAATGAAATGAAAACGTAGTGTAAGAATGAGCATTTAGTTTTAGCTTAGTTCTTTGTATGTGCATAACAGGGGTGTAAACTACAATCCGCTTAACGGTAATTGCTGCCCATATCCTCAAAACCCTTTTAATCCACAGGCAGAAAAATATAATAAATTAATAAATAAAATTAATATAAAGGGAACCAAAAGTTGGTATACCCTATCATGCAAATAATCATAACTTGGCCAAAAATCAAATAAATTCAATTCGGAAAGCTTTCCTATGCTAGTTTTTATAAGGTTAATAAATCTGCCTACTTAATTAAAAATTTAAATTTGTGTAAATTTTTGACATTTTTTTTGTGACAATTTTATCGATAAAAAATTGTGAAAATTTGAAAAATAATCAATTTTCGTGCTGATCAAGAATATATATAGTTTATAGGGTTGGAAATGACTCCTTCACTGCGTTTTACGTTTCTGACGAAAATCATAATACCATTTTTTGAGTCGATATTTATCGTTTTTTATATGGCAATTTTTTTTTTGAAAAATCAAAGTTGAAAAAACTTATAACTATGCTAAAATATCATTAATTTTGAATTGGAAAGCGGTGATATGCTAATTTTTATCAGGTTATCAATTTTGCATACTCAATTTAAAATTTAATTTTTTTTTTTTAATGTTACATATTTTCTTGACAATTTTAACCCCTTGTAAAATTGTGAAAATTTTGTAAAAAATTAATATTGTCCGTAGATGGCTAGATCGATTCGGCTTTTGATGCTGATCAAGAATATATATTGTTTATAGGGTTGGAAATTGCTAAATCAAATAATATTGGATAAAATGTTCGTTTTATTCGTTTCACTTATATCTTATTTAAATTTCTTTAGTTCGTTATATCGAAGAAATAATATTTTATTTATTTAAATATCCATTTTTTAGGTCAAATATAAATAGAGTGTTGATCTATCTATATTTTTTCACACTCCCCAGTTGTAATATTCAGCAAAAATATAATTTATAAATTGTCAAACGCTGTTTAAGTATTATAAATTAAACAATTCTGATGGTAATTTCGATTATATAGTATTTTACAGCTTCATTTAATTATTAACGAATGAATTGTGGACTCAATTCAATCCCGACACCTTTATCCACAAATATTTATTTATATCCACTATAAATAAATAACATTTCCCTCAGTGCCTTCCGCTCATTTTGTCGCGTGCTCTTTAAAGCTTAGTTAATGGGCCCTTTTGGCCACGCCCACTTCCTGCACCTGCTACATCCATAAATTGCGTGTAATTTTGGATTTCTTACCGTTTGAATGCTCGCCGAAGCTCATTTATATTTCATAAACCAAAAAAGGGGAGGCGATAGAAAAACGAAGGGAGAGGTGGACTTCCTTCTAGTAGGTGGCCGGAAGTGAGCTTTTGTTTTTCAGCCGTTAGTTCCTTCCGCTTCGACTGCCTGTTTATTTGCCTATATTGTAGGTTCTACGTATTCCGTTCTTGTTTTCGTTTTTGTTTGGGTTTTGTTTTCGTTTTTGTTTGACTTGTTTTACTACTGGGAGGCAATTTAATAAGCGTCTTGAGCTTTGCGTGTTCTTTTTTTTCCCCTAGAATAAATGTGCCACCTTAAAGGTTTTTCCAAAAAGGTGTTTTCCACATTGATTGGTTGTCTTTTGCTTTCTTGCCTGATTTATTGTTCACCTTCGTTGGGTGTGTTACTTGGGCGTGGCCAGGACAAATATAGTTGGCTTTGATTGCATTTAATGTCTAAGCGCAAATCAATCAAAGGCAACAACAACAAAAATAACAACAATAGAGACAGTCACACGAATAGAGTCTCAATTTCACTGCAATCGCTGCAATCATGAGAGTCGTTTATTTGTTGCGAAATCACAGCACCGAAAATCGCTGTTCAATTGCTGTCTAGCTTTTAGGGGGGTAATTCAATAGAGACAAGTGAACTCGACTTCTATGGCGAACACAGAGAGAAAAATAAGATGATTTTATTAATTTTTTAAGGTAATTTGAGAATAGGAAAGAAAAGAAAATTTTTGCACACTTGTTAGGTAAAGGTATATCAAATAAAATGCATATTACAATCAAAATTTGGTATAGTTTTAGCTCAAGAAATTGCCAAAGAAAAGGGTACAACTAATTCAATTATATCATGTCAAATGAACTAATAAATTTCTTTCAGTGCTAACATCTTCTTAAGATATATAGAAAGCTAACTCTTGTGTGTTTGCACTGTAATGTAATATTTCTCTCCCTTGATTGCTGCCCTCCTTGGTTGAATTGGCTTTTAGAGTTTTCTACTTCATCATTCGATGTAATCGATGTTGAGCCACTCGATAATCGCTGTCCAATTAAAAGAGGGAAAACTTTTGGGGAAAATTTATGCATTTGCAGATCAAAACATGAAAAGACTTCACATTTATATATTTATTTAGCCAAAGTCTCGCATCATTTCAAATGCTGCAGCCCTTTGGACACGCTTTCGTGATGCTTGTTAGCCCATGAAAGAAGCCACATCAAAATATATAAGTGTATATATACATATGCTTGTTTAAAAAATATATATATAAAAGTAAAGTTTGCCTTCGTTATTTGATGTTGCGCCAATTGACAGGGCCTTTAATTTCTGGTTGCCGCTCTTTTCTCTTTTTTATATTTATATTCTTTATTTCCTTTGGTCTTGTCAACGCATCTTTTGGCTGCCATAATTCAAGTCTCTTCTGTCTGTTGGTGGCACGCCGTTTGCATAGCCAAACATTTGCTTTTAAATAAAAATTTATTTGGTATTTGTGCCTCGTTTATTGACAAGTTGAAAGAACGTGAAGATCTTGGCGATTTTTTGTGTTATTTTCTTGGGGGATATTTGTCTTCATTTATTTTTATTGATTTTGCTGCTACTGCTGATTTAGTACTACCTCTATGTGTATGTACTGGCAGACACTGAGTGGTCAATGGCCAATTTCGTTTTCATTTAAGCTGAAGCCAGTGAATAATCACAATGCATTTATCTATCGACCTTTTCGCCCACACTTTTCCCTTACTCCAGCAGCGGCGGCAGCAGTAGCTTTTCAATTATTTAATTTTCCGCTCACGTTTTTGTTAGTTTTTCACGTAGTTTTTCATTGGCCCTCCAAGCTAAATGCGACAAAAGGAAAATCCAAACGAAATTTGGCGATAAAAATCTTCTTCTCAAAAGAAGTGAAGGAGAGAGGAGGGAAAAGGCGAAGCCGAAGCGAAGCCCAAAGTGCATCTTCAACTTGGAGGCGGCGACATTCTCACGTTTCCATTGGCATTAAGGTTTTAGTTGATCGCCTTCGCCATTTAAAGGGGATGCAGAGGTATATGTAGCTCTAGGGGGTACACTGAGAATCATAATGATTTCTAAGAAATTTTACTTAATTTAAATATGAAGAAAGTATGTTGTATTTTCTTGAAAAAGTTTTGTTTTTAAATGTTTACAATATATTTTTGTTTCTTTAAGCATGAAAACAAAGATGTTTCAAAGGAAGGCCGCGTATTTCTTCATCGTTGAATGTTTTTCTTCAACATTTATCACAATTCATATTCAATTTTATGTTCTATTGTTTATTTCCCTATCGATTTCTCTCAGTGCTATATGTGTAGGTGTGTGTGTTTGGGCTACTTGTAACCATCTCCCCCATTCACTTATGCTTCATGCTTGATTTGGCAAAAGCTGCAAGGCAATTGATGACAGTCTCGAAGTTGTTGGAGTTTCGACTGTGGGTTAGGCAGCATAAATTCCATTTAAATGGCAAACCAGTCCTCCTCAGCTGCAGCAAAGCATCATCATGATGCGCATCTACCAACTTCTTCGTCTTGAGCCATTAACAACAAAGGGGAAATGGCAAAATGTGGGCAGCAGCCCAGTGACACACTAAAGTGGCACCTAAGAAAGCACTAAACAATCTGCTGTTTTTCTCTTATTTCTTTATATATATATGTATATATCTAGTATAGTATAGGCTGCACTAGGTAACAGAAACCGCATTTAAATGCTGGGCCTCAGTACAAGCAAGTTTCGCTTTTGGTTTACTCTTTTTTTTTGCAGCAGATGCGACGACCGACTGACTTTATATAGCCCCCCGTTATACCCTCCTTCTATATCCCGATTTTAGCCGGTTTTATGGCTTTGGCCAAGGCAGCCTAGGGCCATCTATTCTCCTCTTCACTTTTGTTGGTTTGGGTTTTCTGCTGG